TACTTGTCTGCTTTACAGCTCCAGATTTAACACCTTCTTGTAGTCGTTGCAGCAAATATTGAGATAATGATAAGTTTTAAAAATCATTTCATAAATACATTTTTGATGGTTGATTTAAAAAAATATATATTTTTTAAAATCAAAATTACTTCCGAAAGTAAAACATTTCAAGTAAATTATTATTTTTGAAGATGAGAGTGGTTATATCACTACTGCTCAAAATCCTACAAGCCGCAAAGATATAGATAAAAACATATTGAGAAAATTTGAGAAAATGGGAAATAAACTAAGTGGTAATAGGTAATGTGTGTAATAAACTAAGTGGTAATAGGTAATGATATGTTAACGATACCATTACCGTCACCTAAATTTTTTAGAACTAGGTTAGGTTTAGAGTAATAATTTGTTGGTATTGCTAATCCGAGAAACAAATGTTGGACCAAATTTGTTACTGTACCCCAGCCTGCACACGGAAGGTATTAGATTTTTATAAAATCTACTTTGAATAATTATATTTTCTTAAGATTGGTGTGCAAATTTTACATTAAGTTTGCAATTTTTGAGGGGGCGTGTTCGAATATATTTACAAAAATTAATTTATGGCTCTCTGCCGGTTCGGTATATTTATCTTTATATAAAAATGATGAAGGGACTTCGTGACGGTAGATGGTTGCTTTAAACGGCGTTTTAAAATATGATTGTCTATACAGTTGAAGGTTAGTCCAAAAACCTTCAGAATGTGCTTCTCTTAAAAGGCAGGAAAATTAAATATTTCTATCCACTGCATGGATGGATGGATATTAGCATATTAATGTCCTACAATTGCCAGCAGTACCAGCATAAAGGTGTGAAAACAGAGACGATTGTAAAAAATGCTCTGAGGAGCACGACATCGCAGATTGTCAGAATAACGACTCTAAATGCATAAATCCACTGCGCATTATTTTAGCCCATACCCTTCACAATCTTGTATTCAGTTCAGCTTCCTGATTACCTTACCTTGTGTTTCTATGTTCTTCTGCCACTACCATGATATTAATTTTAGCTGTATTCACTTCCATTATAGTCTCTCTCAGTATGTTATTCCAAATATTCAAATTACTTTACAAATGCCGCAATGATAGCTATATCATCTGCAATTTTAATTATTTTATCCATGAAGATGATGAATAACAGAGGTCTCAAGTTTCCGCCTTATCTAACTCCTTCATTAAGGATGACTTTAAATCCTTACTAATTGCACAGTTTCTTATTCGCTTATGCAAGCTTTTTGCTACTTTAGTTAACTTATTGCTGACTTTTCTTTCCTTTGGGCATTTCCATATTTTCGTTTTGACACCCTTTGGAGAGCCTCCTCCACAAAATTTTCTTGATGGCAAACACATGGTCCTGAGCTACTTTGTACTTCAGAAGGGTTACACCTCTATAATTGTTGCAGTTTCTGTTGTCTTCCTTCTGGAATATAGGTAATATTTTCTTTTCAATCAATTGGTCTTTTCTCTTCCTGTCACGCTCAATTTGGCAACTTAGACATAATTGTGTTCCGCTTTCACCGTTTGTAATAAATCATTTCAGTTGTAATTCTGTCACTGCCTGGGTCTTCCGATAATTTTTCTTTCTTCGGTAAGTATTCTTTAGTAACTAAAAAAAATAAGTTTAAACATTGCCTTTTGGGTAATCAAATTGCAATGCTAGCAAGATTTCATTTTCAGCTAACTAAACCTTTACTTAGATACTTCCTTGTCCTTAATTCCCTCCCACTGCCCGTTTGTACTTTAACGATTAGTGATACCTTGTTATACATCGGACCTAATCTATGCGTTTCATTATTGTAACGATACGGAAGTTTCGCTCATGCATTATCGGTATTTGCAACGGTTAACGGCGGGTTTTTTTTCGAAAACATTTTTGTCGCGCAACCACACGAGCTACACTTGTTTGCATTTATAATAATAAGATAACCTTGCGGGAGCCGCGGCTTGGTTTTTTATTGTATCAACTGACCTTTCCCAAACGAGGTTGCTAATGGCACTTTTATTTTCGGCTTGACGCATCGTGCCGTCGTCGAATTTTCGGCAATATATTATTTTACCGAAACGCTGCCACACGAAAGTTTACAAACTGCGTCGTCGTATTTTGATATCGAACACGCTCGCGCCATTGACCTTGGACAAATATATTATTCGGATTAAAGCTCACAACGAAATGTAAACAAAGGACAACTCGCACATACAATTTATATATTTTTCGCATTGTTTATCGCAAAAATCACTTCTTAATGGCGTATCGTGCGACGAGTCAATAATACTCAAAACGGTCTCGACGTATGGATATTAGCATATTAAAAGGTCCTACAATTGCCAGCAGTACCAGCATAAAGGTGTGAAAACAGAGAAGATTGTAAAAAATGCTCTGAGGAGCACGACATCGCAGACTGTTCGAATAACGACTCCAAATGCATAGACTGTGATACATCAAGTTAGAAATAAGGAACCAAACATTTGATTGACCATGACCCAGCGAATATCAACTGTCCAACCTAGGGATGGTTAAAGCTAGGATTAACTATGACTAATCAAGAAATACAACTGTTGGATAATATTTGCGAAGAGGGCAGTCACTGCGTAGATGGCAAACTTATTTCGTATGCCGATGATATATTCATAAATTTCTCTACAGAGAATTAGAAGCCAGAGCAAAGGTAAAGACGGGTTTTACGAGCATTAAAAATATCCTCGATTCGCTAAAGCTATATTGCAAAAACACAATTCCTGACAGAAGCCAGTCGGTTACATTATAATAAGATCCTCGCGAACGGAACCCCTAAAAGAGTACACCGGTATCAAAGATTTAGGTGTAGTGATAGATAACCATTTAAAATGGGATCAACATATTCTTTACTTGAGCAAGAAACTGCAATGCATAACACATAAATGCTATTGTGAAATATTATGTTAACGATAAATCTTGTTGTAATCTATACAGAACTCCCCCATTATATTTTGGCACACAACTACCATTTAGACGATGATCTAAATGGCAGTTGTGTGCTAAAAGTAACACAAAACTATAAATTGCGCACTTTACTGAGAAAACCAGGACTATATGCAACGAATCTCTTGTATTGTGGGGATATACTTTAAATTAGGAGTTTGTACATAATAACTGCATATAGTTTTTTCCATTGAAATAAAAAAAGGTTTACAATTTTATGTCACAATAAAAACACGAGAGGAAATTTAAATAATTTATTTAATACTACAATATTGCGCAGTTAGGAAAAATATTTTGTATCATATATCGACCCCAAACTATATAATATAATACCTGCTAATTTACGTAACACTAAAGAAAGAAAAACTACGTTAATTACGTTACAAGGTTTGCTGTGTGGTAATTGGTGTGAATTTAATTACTTAAAATCTCGTACCTACGCAAGGATTTTCCTTTTTATTAGGTATGCCAAAAAAAATTGAAAACAATAAAAAGAAGTGATTTGTCCATTGTTAATACCGCCATATTTCAATTTTACACATCAGAGCCAACAAGTGTCTGTAATTTAAGTAAATTTAAAAAGTGTAAAGTTATGTATAAATTTCAAATCGCCTTGTGCGTCACTTCACTGCTGAACGCGCCATTAGAGCAAGCAATTGGGTCTCAGTTTCAGACAGCACTTTGAAGAAGCCAGGAGTACGTCCCCTGTGTCTTTGAAAAAAAGCTTTGGTTAGTCTTGGGTACTGACGAAACTGAGGTCCATAAAGTTACACTACACCATAACTGTAATACTCGCAATATTGGTAAAGCTAGTAAACTATATGTTTGTATATTTTCTGACGAGCTCTGAAAGTCTAAGGCTTGTGAATAATTGCAGACCAATTTATTTGTAAGCGTCCGTTCCAAGATCATCAAACGTTAAATTTCCTACAAACGGTATGGCTTTTTGAGGAAACAAGCACGTTGAGTGTTAAGGATAGAACGGTAGTAGAGGTAGGGGACATTGTTGACCTCTTCTGTTGTTATTTGCTCGGTTTTTGGTTCGCTGTTTTAATTTTAAGTATACGGTCTTTCTGATCAAAAGCAATATGTTAATGTTAAACAATGAGTTAAGTCAATAATTACTTAAGGATATTCTACAAATAGTTACTTCGGAATAAGTTAAAAATTAACTTACGGAGAAATGGAGAAATTCTTTGTTCAAAATGTTAAATCCGTTAAATAACTAGTAGTTCTCCTTGATTCAGTTAATCCGGAATAATAAAACCGGACATATCCGGATAATTGTTTGAGGTTTTAAAAAATCAATGGCGATAAGACTCGGCAGCACAGCAAACCAACAAAGAACAAATCCGACTTAAGCAAATACATTCGCAAGTATTAGAAGTTTTGCCGCTTGGTGAAGTCACTTCTAAATAATAGCTTTAGTTTCAACTTACGGAAAAACAAAATATTCCATCACGCTCACTATTTTCAACACTGATATTCCAGACTATGTTCAGGGAGGTTTTGTCTTATAGGGTATGTCTCGTAAGGTGTTAAACATTAAATAAAATAAAAAAATAAACACTTCTTTTTTGACGCTATTCTGATTTCAAACACAAACAGGTCTTGCCGAATTTAATCAAAGGTTACCAAATTGAAAAATCTCTCTATAAATATAATACTTCAAAATTAGCAGTCAAGGTTACCGGCTGGCAAATTTCTATACGCATGTGCGGGATTGCTAAAGCTAATTGTAGCAATACTACTTAACCGCGATATTGTTTGCCTACATCGGATCATTCAAGATGAAGAAATTAGCGGCTAGTGAAGCAAAACCGGTAAAGTTCTGGGAAACCTTTACACGTTAACATATTTAAGTCATCTAGGTTATCGTCTCTCGTTCCTCAATTGTTATCTCGGAACAAATAGAAATCCAAAGGACATTATATACAAACATTACCTCATTACGCGGTTAAACGATAGAACCAAAATAAAACGTCTAAAATTGTAATAAGACTCACCGAATGCAAGCGCTCGAGGGCCAAAATTATCTCGCCAATGTAAATTCGAACCTCCTCTTCGGTGAAGTGCTCTCTTTGGTATAAATGAGTGAAGAGCTCGCCACCAGCCACGTAATCTGCAAAGAAAAAAAGTGACGATATAAGCGATTGGCTAAACTGCAAGGGAAATTGTGTACTTCGCAATTTATCTCCAACAGTTCTTTGGAATTGTTATGGAATTCCTGTGAAGCTAGTTCATACTGTATTTCATGATTCCTTTGCGCTTTAGCCTTCGCATATGAGGCTACGTGGTAATAAGAGGAAACCTTATACCTCATCAGAAATTAGGAAGTTGTAGGTCCAATATAAAAGCAGTGGTTGAAAAGGCGTAGGAAAACTTCCAAGTGATAAGTGGCAGGTTTCGATTTGAAAGATAAAAAAAGTCACAGGATTTTGATGTACTGATGTGTAATAAAATATTGCAATTAAGCACTTTCAATTGCAAAGTATTAATAAGTCCTAAAAGCGCCATTGATGCTTATTGTATTAGTATTTTAAAACAATTTTAAACTATCAGTTTGATTTGTTGTAGTTTTGTTGTAATAATAACATTTCTTGTGTTTATAGTTTTCTTTTTATGCAACGTAAGACATTACTTTTATATGTTACAACTCGTAATTAATAGTTATTATGTGACAAGTTTGATAAACCCCACGTGTTGCATACTATTCTTTTCTTGTGCACGATTAATCAGTGCATAATTGTGTATTTTAGAATAATAAGTAAAAAAAATACTACTATAAAAAAAATCCAACTCAAATTAAAAGAAGGAATTCCATTTTCAAGCTAAAAGCTAAATAAAATTGGCATTAATAATTTTCATTGTTTATATGTATTCATTTGGGAGACTTTATTAGACAAGTTATTGATAAAAATAAAAATGGGATGGTTGAAAACCGTAAAAAGATAATAACCTCAAGAAATAAGCATAAAATTACGAAAATTAAAGTAAACATTAATTACAATAAATATTTTAAAACAAATAATCCACTTCTATTTCGTTATCAACTTTAATTTGCACATCCATCAATAACATCGCTTCTGCAAAGTGTGCTATTCCCAAGTTTTTCAGATGTCCGAACGGATAAAAATGTAAGGCAATATAGTTTTGATGGATCGCCGTCTTTTTCAAACCACATGTGAAATATATGGCCCAAGTATTTTAGCAGATAGCCAAAGTACTTCTTTGCTTTTCCACTGACCAGTAATGCGTTGCGTGTAATATTTACGATGCAATGCTAGCTGACAGGGATATGTGTCTCCTCTACCCGTGGTTCAATGCGAAGCCACAGGTTGTATCAGCAGTATCGACAAAGCTAGTCCAAGCAATGACCAACGAAAAAACTTTTTATGGAACTTGAACTATAGGACTAGAAACCAAAATGCGCTATTCCCTATGGATAGCCAGCGTTCACCATCTTCTGTTTTTTCATTTCTATTTGACCCAATGTACGAGGAAATGGCCGATCGTAAAATTTGGAAGATATGTTCAAATGCTTAAAGTCCACGTGTCAATTGCCAATTTAGAAATATTGGCGTATCATTTGCAAAAAGTTCTTAACCTAGCGCCAGGTATCACGCAGCGAACAGAAAACTATACAAGTTGCTCATTTATTCACGAAGAAGCGGGTTGAGATCAAATATAGATAAAGCAAGGCGTATCGCAAGATTCGATAATTTCTCTGTTATTGTGCCCCATTTAACCTGAACTTGGTGAGTTGTGAAATTGTATATATAGGTCTTCTATTCACTGGGGCCAAAAAAATTGGTGCAAAAAAAAGCCGAACTCAAAAAAGATTTAAACAATTACCACTTAAAAACAACCTGCAAAATCACTGTAGTGAAAAAACTTTTATGTTATGAGGGACGTTGATTTGAGATTCTCAGAGCTTATCAAGTGTAACATACGAAAGACAACACTAAAATTACTCCTTCCAAGATTCCTTGGTTCTCAGCAATTTAATAACAACATAATAACAAATTGCCAGCAATATTTAGAAAATAAATACCCAAAGTATGGACATAGCTAACATGAAGATTCAGTGGGTTAGTTACTCCTCCACATCGTGAGGCAGCTGTTAAGAATAAAGAAATTCAAGAAATATTGTTTAGACAGACTATAAATTTAATTAGCTTTTCGTCACACCTTGGATTTTGTAGTCAGTTTCTTGCTTTGACTGATTTCGGTATTTTGCAGTTACAATAATAATAATAATAATGGATTTGATTACCCAACAGTGCACGCCAATTACAGGACAATATGTAATAAATCAATCACAACAGAGATTTGGAATACAAAATACTCGCTGAAACGCGTCATATATACAAGAAACGAGAAGAACAAAAAAAGAGAATACGAAAAATAAAATAACACCATAACATACACATAAATTAGGCAGTTAGATGAATGTTCAGCAAGATTTTTGTAATATTTGTTACATATTAATATTAATCTAGGTCAGGCATCGTTACAAATATCACTAGTCGATAGTCACACTCAAATCTCTAATAGAGCTACATCTGGGTAATTTAATTTGTGGAAAAATAAGAAAGTATGAAGACTTCGGATGAATGTACGCTGCACTTTGAGATGTCGAGGTTAAGATTATTTTGCTCACACCACTTATAAACGTTAGAGAACTGGTGTTGAATGATCATAGAAAAATAGATCTATAAATTTTAAAATGATCTACAAATAGTAGAAAATCACATTTAATTTTATTAGACAGGTCGTTGATAAAGATCGACAACAATAATAGTAAAAGATTGGAACCCTGAGGCACGCCGGCTGCCGCGACAAACTGAGCTGACTGAAATACATTATACCTAACTGAAAGCAGTTCATTGTGCAGATAAGATGTGAAGAGATTCTAAAATCCAGCACGGAATTTTTTGTAATCCTTAGCAACATCCAAATACACTAAGATTACATTGTTTAAAATATTCTCGCGTCGTAAGTGGTTAGACCACCAGTAACACATGCTTTTTGTGTTGCGCATGCCGCAACCGATTTGGAGCAGCTGTGCGGCGAAGCCAGACGAGAAATATGCGTCGAAGACGAAGGATCGTCTTTTGAGCTCCGTTCTTTGTAAAAATGACATGATTTTCAAAAATATACAGTCAGTGAGGACCCCATAAGCTCCACAGCATAGCAAGTAAACTCGACATACACATTGCCACATACCTGGTCATGCCGTTGGTTCTTCTTTATATGAATAATTTAACTACGCCTTAATTAAGTTTTTAGATAGTTAATTAATCAAACAAATCCAAAATCTCCTGGTCTATTGATCTTCTATTAAGCTGCCTCCACTAACTTCTTTTTGCATATTTCCTCACAATTTCTGTGAATGTGAATGTTTATAGAAGCAAAAAATAAAGATTATTGTTATTATCTGAAACGAAAAAAGGAAGGTTTCTATGTAAGATAAGGACGAGTTTAGTGCGAACTTTTTTTCCGAAAACAGTGTCCAAATGCCTCTCAAATGCCATATATGACGGTTGCGGTACAATTGACCTCGTCTTTTTCGCCTATATCTGACGAAGGCCGAATCGCACACGAAATGCGGTAAGATACGATCGGCAAATTAACTTCTAATAATAGTTTTTTTTTTCAAAGCGCAGCAATTCATCTTAACGATACAGTTTTACACAAAAAAGGCAACGTAAAACGAGGTGCTTGGGATTCCGAAACGATTTCTAAGGTCATTTCCCGGAAGACGAAATCTAAAGAATGTTCATTCAGGTAATTCGACTGCGACCGTACAAAATTGTCAGGAAAAATAACTTTATCGGCGGAGGGCATTCGCCGAAAACTGCAAAACGAACAAAGATAAGAAAATGCGGCTTTTAATAAAATATAATATCAATAATATGTTCTTCGTAACTAATACCGGTGTACCGGCGTTAATTTTTTTAAAGCAACTACACAATAAAATAAAAACCCTTAAAATTAACCTCGTAAAGAGCACAAAATTCTCTTTTAAACGAACCGGAATTCAGTCAAATCAATACAGATTTTTTTCGTTTATTAAATGAAGTTAATTTTCGAAAAAGCATTTTATTCAATGTTTGCAAAAAACAGAAAATGGACCACTACACAGCGTAGCATATGCAACCAAAGGTCCATATAGCATTTTTGAGTTATTTTATTGGCTTCTTAAAAATAATAGTTTATTTTCCATTTCAATGCACAAAAAATATTACTACTACCAATATGTACAGAAAAAGAATAGGCTTGCTTAATGCACCTCGATAGCGCATTATTTGGATTGCCTAGTGGACTTTATTTCAAATTCTTTCTTTTATTGGTTTTGTAGAGTGACAGTTACTAAATCGAAATCAATATAATATATGATAACAATCCGGGGCCCCAAATAGTGAAATTAGTTTCACTCCCGAAAACGTGTTGTTTCTGTGCGCTTAACTCAAAAACGCGCAGTTTGATGATCTTCACAATCACCCTTGGTTAACAGTATCACGTTAAAAATAATGAATTCTTTAGACATAAAAAGCAGTAATGCGACACGAAACCTATAGAGGCTGCTGGTAGTGTGAGAAGTAAATTAAAGAAAACAAAAGATATTCTATTTATAAAGAAACTTCATGAAATATGAAGCAGAAAGAAAACCCTTTGACTAAAAAGAAACAAAAAAATCAAAATCAATTAATAATAATAATAATAATAATATTAATTCCAATGGCGACTACCTCATTGCCATTCAATCCCATTGGAAAAACTATATTTAAATTATTGCATGAAAGAAAGCCAGTGGCTCAAGTGGAACCTCCAAAAACAAGTACGCTCTTAGTATCTTAAAATTGAAATATTAAAACTCAATTGCTAAGGCAAATCTTTAAAGCGTTATGTAATACCAAACGTTTGTGCGCGACAGTTACCAGAATATCACTGGGAAAAAAAAAGTGGGCCAATAATAGTTCCATAAAGCAAAAATGCATTCCTAAAAGTCGGTTTGTTGGCATTCGAATCTGAAAATTATCACGAGGACAAGAATACCGATGTGTTCAAAGATTGCTTAATGCAGAATGACCACAGAAACACCAACTTCATTGTGAA